TAGGAAATACATGAGAAATACGCGCGCCTTAGCGAGCGCGCTAGGAATTTGGTGCGATAGTTAGAAATTCCGGAATATGCGGGACCTGACGAGTCATTTCTTGTGCATGAATGTTCTCGACTTCGTCTTGAAAACTCTGGGAATTTTCGTGTGAATCTGAATAGGCGTAGGATTTTTTCCCCTATTCACTTTACGAGCGGATATGGTATTTTTCAATTGTGAATTAGCATAGGACTCTGAATAAGCTGTAACCGTTTTCCATCTCTCCCTTGCCTCGCATGCCTTTTGCGTGCCTTTTCTCTTTCTCGATCTTCTGAATCTTGGTCCTGTTCCGCGCTACCATGGGGTCTACCCACAACAGAGTCAGACCCATTGTTTGCAGCAGCAGCATATCCGCCTTGCTAAATAAGGCAGGCAGTTTTCATGAACTTGGGGTTTGTACTTCAAGATTTCATGGGTGTACCAACTGCGCAAGACCCGTCGGTGGGGTGTATCCTTCATCGTTCCCTTTGCCGCCAACACACACTGGTGGTATGAGTACCCCAATGTCTTTTGCTTCAATTCCTAGTCACTGTAAATTTCAGACTCGGCACAGTAAACGTCCTCGTTTGTCAAAATAGGCCCACATTCTGCGCAGTGGTATTGCTGCGTCCACCTTAGTCCAGTCCTGAAAGCAGTTGTTGTAATTTCGTCTCATATTATCCTCCTCCTCTCCGCATTCTGGGAGACTGTCTCCTTCCCAACGAATTTGAACATAAGCTACTCTACCCCCTTGGTCACTTCCCAACCAATCCCTTGAGAATTGCTCAATAGCCTGTGTTATGTCCTTTCTGGTATGAGTTTTATCCAGTTTAGTTTTCACTGTCTGCCATTGTATTATAAGTTCATCCTGAACATATTGTTTGATTAGCTCGGTCATTTCCCCGTCCTCTAATCTTACTTTTCGAATGCATCATATACACCGTTTCCTCCAAAGAGCCCAGATAACGGTCCTCCTCCCTATCTTGAACATATTCTCTTCAAACTTGTTGTTTGTAAGGGGGAGTCATGTTTCACACAGAAGCGCTCTCCAGTCCCATGGCCATTCAGACTTTGTACCCAGTGACCTCCAAATCCTATCCCACCGGCGCCAAGGGAGGATCGCCCCTGGACATTGTAAAAAAATATGCTCTATCGTCTCGGGGATTTTGCGGGCAGGAAAGACTGTCAGACAGGACGTGCACCATGGTGTGGCTAAACCCTTTTGTTCCAAATACGTTCGGCCAATCAGCCAATCGTTTGTGGGGAGGCAGCGGTGTTCTATCTGCCATTGCAGGGAGACCATCTTTGCTGGTCTGGCCTTTGTGGCGGTGAACCATCGAATGAGGGGGAGGCAGTCCCTTCCCACATTCAGATGGGACATCCAGCGCTCTCGCACGGTGCTCCTAAGATCAACCCGAGGCCTGAGAAGCCGGTATGTAACTTTCACAGACAGGTCGAACAGTTTCTTGACTTTCCCAGATCTGATCTTGTCGGACGGGAACCATTGCCATTCCAGCGGGTCGATGGGGAGTTTGGCAAGCGGGATATCCGGGAGGAAACCTACCCATTCCTCTTCTTCCCCCACTACCCTGATTCTGAACGAGTCCACCTTCTGCCAGCTTCTCTTCTCATCGTGCGGGTACCTTATAAGACGTCAATCCCCGGTGGAAGAGGGTTACCAACACCTCGTCCTCTCGTTTTTCCATCACCCTACCTACATTCTCACTATCCCCCGTCATTGCAACCCAGTCCTCTTTTCGAAATCTCGGCCCGCTTCGCAAAATGCGCACCCAGTCCAAGGGAATAGAGAAGATCAATTGGTCCAGCTTTTGTTCAATATGCTGACAACACTTCAAGCTGGACCTCAATTGTTGAGCAGTTTTCCATTTTCCTTCGTCACTATTCCATATGTCCCTAATTCTTGTTACACCGCTCTTCACCTAACGGTTCCAAGGGGGGATAGAGCTACAATATACCCTCCCATTTGAGTCAGTGACACACATATTGCCGAAAAGCAGTTGTCTCACTACCTCTTCCCATCTATTCAGTGACCCTTTGTCAGGCAGCAGGAGTTGGCACCATGCGCGCAGGGCTTTGACCTAGAAGTCGTCCTTGTTCAAATCCGTTCTAGCCATTCTTCGATCGGACTCCCCGTGGGCCTTCGAGTATCGTGGAATAGTCCAAAAGCGGTCCTCTAACCAAAACAGGGGATCCACCTCCTGGGGGGCCTAGGGGGCCACTCTTGCGATCTGTTCCGAAGTCATGGCACGCCACAGGAGGAGGGGAGTAAATATAAGCCTCTTGATCGATTGTATTGTCAATGTTGTGATCTGTATAATGGGGTCCGAAATCCCTAGTCCTCCTTTTTCCTTGGGTTGAATAACTGCTGGCCATGCCACTCTGTTAATGACATCAGGGAGCCTACCATCCCCTCTCCATAGTAGCGCGGGCACTTGCCTTTTTAAGGCTCTAACTGCTTCCTTGCTCAGGGCCCATATTGCCGACCTGTACCACAGCGAGCCAAAACCACATTGTTGATAGCCAGCGCTCTGCCCATCAGCGATGCGTGTTTGTCATTCCACTGGGTAATTTTTTCAAGCACGGTTTTTAAATAGTGTCATCGTTAGATGCCGGTTTGCCTATGGCTGTTAACATGATGCCCAATACTCTGATCGGGGCCGTTTCAACAACCATTTGACCCGTGGCAACTCAAGGGGGCGCACCCCTTGGTGATGCATCCACCAGCCAAGTGTCTTGTTTCCCCACTTAATAGTCATATCCGATACTGCCGTAAACCTATCCATCAGCCTCCTGATCTCCTCCATATTCGCAGGGGAAGCATCCACCATAACTGTTAAGTCATCTGCGAACATGGAGTAGATAGGGATCGCGTCCTCAGGGATGGAAGAGACCTGGAGTTTCTTGATGTCTTTATTAGTTCTTTGCGGCCAGTGCTTCCATCACTATTATGAATAAGGAGGGGGCCAAACGGTCCCCTTGGCGGACTGATCTTTGAAGAGAAATTTCAGGGGCTAACACCCCATTAACTTGGATCCGGGTGGTGGAATTGCGGTGGAGAATTGCGGTCCATCTTCGGAAATCGGGACCAAAATTCATTTTTGTCACGCATTTATCCAAAAAAGTCCAGTCTACATGGTCGTAAGCTTTTTCAAAATCAATAAAGACAACCGCTGCATTACATTTATCTTGTCTGGTTAGCCTCAATACCTCGTTTACTAATAAGATATTATCCTGGATCCTCCGCCCTGCACATGATGAAATCTGTTTGACGATATATCATATACCCTCAAACAGATAGATGTGACATTCCCAAAGAAGCCCGTCACGCTTGGTCAACACCCCTAGCACCCACAAGGGATGTTTAAGGGGGAGAAGAGGGGGAAGGAGGGAGGGAGGTGGGGAAGAAAAAAAAAAAGGGAAAAAAAAAAGGAAGAGCTCGGTCAAGCAAACTTTGGGCTGCCAAACGCAAAGCAGGACTAACATTATCACCTAGCTTCGTTAAAGGATCATGAACATACAGTTGTCCTTCACAAGGTTCCACCTCTCTCTCTCTCTCTCTCTCTCTCTCTCTCTCTCTCTCTCTCTCTCTCTCTCTCTCTCTCTCTCACACACACACACACACACACACACANCACACACACACACACACACACACACACACACACACACACACACACACACACAGACTCTCTCTCTCTCTCTCTCTCTCTCTCTCTCTCTCTCTCACACACACACACACACACACACACACACACACAGGTCTAACCTTCTGCATAAGACCTCCCTTAGTGTGACACCTTTTGTCACTTGCTTTGTGAGGGAAAGAAAGGAAAAGATGTGAATGACCAGCCTATCTACTACTAAGTCCAGGTGGGGGACAAAACTGTTTAGAGTGGGCCCATAATAGCGCCCAGTTAGGGGGTTGGAATCAGTGGGAAACGGAACCAGTCCCCTGTTGATAACTGGCAGGCGGAGGGACACGACTTGACTATGGTAGTGGGCCATTCGAGCCTCAAATGACCAAGTCCTGGTGGTATCATCCAAAGCTTGACTCAGTGAGTAGTGGGCCATTCGAGCCTCAAATGACCAAGTCCTGGTGGTATCATCCAAAGCTTGACTCAGTGAGTAGTGGGCCATTGAACCCCAAATGACCGAGTCCTGGGGGTATCTCAGTGAGTAGTGGGCCATTGAACCCCAAATGACCGAGTCCTTGGGGTATCTTCCAAAGCCTGACTCAGTGCGTAGTGGGCCATTCAAACCCCAAATGACCTTAGTCCTGGGGGTATCATTTAAAGCCTGACTCAGTGGGTAGTGGGCCATTCGAACCCCAAATTCAAACCCCAAATGACCGAGTCCTGGGGGTATCATTTAAAGCCTGACTCTGACCCCTCTAGAACAACCTGGGCGTTTAAAAAAAAGAAAAGAAGAAAAAAGAAAAAGAACAGGAATAATTTGCAAAATACCCCCATAAGTTGAAATGCTCTTCAGTCGCATGACAAATTTCTCAAGCTCATGAAGTACCACAATGGATAGAAGAGGGCCGTGTGCCAAAATGCCCCTGAAAGATTTGGGTAGAGCGAAATGCCCCGCTGACAAAAACAAAAATTTGTGAAATACCCCTCGCGTTGGTTGGTCCCCCCATCTTTGTGATATGCCCCTACCAGGTACCATCCAACTTTGCAAAATACCCAAAACTTTGCCAACTTTCCTAAGGCCCGGTTGCAAAAGACCATGCCCAAACGGCAAGTCCAGATTGCATATTTGCACACCCAGCTGACAGGGCCATAACACAAAGATTTCGGCCCGAAAGGGCATTCCGCTCTACCCACATCTTTCAGGGGCATTTTCGCATATATCTCAACTTATGGGGTTATTTTGCAAATTAGCCCAAAAGAAAAAGAAAAAGAAAAAGAAAAAGAAAAAGAAAAAGAAAAGAAAAAGAAAAGAGACCTGAAAGAAGGCGAAAGTGTTCTTTATCGACGATAAGCGACTGCAGACCCAAAAGGTAGCAAGCATGATCCTTTGATTAAACTCTGCTCTGTACAAAGACTTCTCACAAGGAACAATTCAGCAAACCCAAAATATGCAGATCACAGTACGCGCAAACGCGGACGTCAACAACATGATAATGCGGACAACAACCATCACACACAAGGTCTTTCCGCTCAATCCTTCACACGATGCCTTCATCTCATGAGACCCAAGGTAGCATACTCCCAGCAAACTCGACAGCTCCACACGTGAAGTCAGCCAATAGCAGATCGAACAATCTTCCCTTCAAGGGACTTTGATGGAGCTTCTGCCCGTCATCCTCAAAACTGCAAACAACAAACTCATTGTTCTCACGTCCGAGACCCTCAAAAAAGAAAACATCTTGGGAGTCAGCAATCTCTCTCTAATAACTCTTCGTCTGACTTAACCATGATCGAACACTGACCAAGTTGGCAGTGCTGACAGAGGAGACGTAACTCCTTAGGACTGTAGACCAAACTGCAACCGCGGAGCGAACCCAACCACCACCATTCGCTGAGCACCATAACAAACCTTACGCCAACTTTGCCGCGAGAGAGAGCTTATTGCAGAGCCCACCGCTTGAAGGACAACTATCCCCCAGGCTTAAGGTTGCTCGTCTCTCCCAAATCGAGAACCTAGCCATCCTTTTCCACCCACTGCCACCTTCCCTCCGCCAGCTTTAGGCTGCTCAGTTATGCTCTACCGCCAGACCAGTGCCGCCCCCTCCGGCTCGTCCCTTTCCCCCCCCCCCCCCCCCCCCCCCCCCCCCCCAAGTCCTTCCAGTCCTGACAACCTCTGTAACACCATGACGAACTCTAACATGAGAAATCTCTCTTGTCCTACCCACTGGCATGAAATATATAGCCATAGTTGCCCCACTCTGGTCTCCCCAACCCTTACTCCCTCCACACACACACACACACACACAGCGCCTACAGTGCCCCTACTTCAACTCTACCCTGTCCCTTCCCCCAACAATTGCACACACCTTCAACACACACACACACACACACACCCGTCCTGATGAGCTGGATATCAGCGAACATGACAACACACACACACACACACACACACACACACACGCGCGCGCGCATCCTGACGAGTTGGATATCAGCGAACATGACAACACACACACACACACACACACACACACACACACACATGCATGCACGCACGCACACACCTGTGCGTATTTGGTTCAACTGCCACTGCACATCCTCCCCTCCCAAAGTTTTAACTAGTAAATGTGCAGCCCCACGTCTTCTTCTCCTCTCTGCAGTGCTTTTTGCGCATATCTTTGCAATCTCCATTTCCATTGCTTCAGATGAGCCGCAAACAGACTCATGCCTCTCAGTGTCGGCTAAAAGTACCATGCCCAGAATCGCAAGGAGTTGTAATAAAGACCAGTAGTAAATGGCTACAGCAACATGGCTGCAGCAATGGACAGCTTCTGCCTGAAGCATAAAAAATGACGCTAGCACACCATCTGGTGATCTGCAACGATCGCCATCTTCAGTACTCAAGCTGGTCGTGAAAGGGGATCAGTGGGAATAGCCAGCCCTTGGTTGAACCCCGACCGTTGCCTGAAATCAAACGTCACGTGAAATTTCAAACGGACTCAAATTAATTAAAAAAAAATAATAATAATAATAAAAAAAAAAAAATCAAACAAGTAGCGAACAAAGTTCAACAAACACCAAATAGGCAACGAACCACTGACAAACAGGTGGTGGGCGAACAGGTGCCAAACTGGGTGCAAACAGGCAGCGGGCGAATAGGTGGTAAACAGCTGGCCAACAGGTGGCGGGCGAATAGGCGGCAAACAGGTGGCAGAAGAACAGGTGACGAACAGGTGGCGGGCAAACAGGTGGTGGAAGAACAGGCGACGAACAGGTGGCGGGCGAATAGGCGGCAAACAGGTGGCAGAAGAACAGGCGACGAACAGGTGGCGGGCAAACAGGTGGCGGAAGAACAGGCGACGAACAAGTGGCGGGCGAATAAGCGGCAAACAGGTGGCGGAAGAACAGGCGACGAACAGGTGGCGGGCAAATAGGTGGCAAACAGTTGGCAAAAACGTGGCACCGATTGGCGGCCAACAGAACAGGTGATTGACAGGTGTCAACAACAACTAGTTGGCCAAGCTCAGTTGGTAAATTGGTAGTCTATTTAACTATTGAGACAGGTGGCCCCCAGACCTAAGTTCGAATTCCACTGGAAGGCGATGACTAAAATACAGGTGGCAAACTGGTGTTGACAAATGGTAGCAAACAGGTGATATAGACAGGTGGCAGGCAGCAAGCCAGGCCACACACACGTGAGAGACAATGAGAAAGCGGTTCAACGGGGGGTATGGGGGAATTAAACGGCCGCAAACTGTTGTGTGTGCGCGTGTGTATGTGTGCATGTGTGTGTTTTGTGTGTTGTGTGTTGTGTGTTGTGTGTGCGCGTGTATGTGTGCATGTGTGTGTGTGTTGTGAATGTTCACCACAACATCCCCTATTCCATCCAGATGAGTAGATCCAAAATGGCAGCAACTTCACCTCTATTGTAGAAGATGAAGCATGCTTGAGAAGCAAGCAATGCGTACATGAGTAGACACAACATCATAGGAACCTGACCTTTATGCAAGCAATGCAGCATACTTGAGAGGGGCCTACCCAACAATGAGACAGTTAGCAATATGATAGACAATAGATCAATTATGTCATTGTCTTCACTATATTCACCATGATTATTGTTTGGAGGCCTCCCAGTTTATATAGTTACCTTCTTACTGTTACCTTCTTACTGGTAACACCTTCTTACTGTTACCTTCTTACTGGTAACACCTTCTTACTGTTACCTTCTTACTGTTACCTTCTTACTGGTAACACCTTCTTACT